ACTTCTGACATCTCCAAAATATCATTTGTTTTCATGGTTTTTTCTGAATGTCTTTTCATTTCGGACGTAAATTAGCCAATTTTGATTTTCACGCAACAAATGGCAACCTAGTCGAAGAAGAAACAAAATCATATTTGTTTCAAAATACTTTTAAAATAATTGGTCAATCTTTTTTTAGTTTTCAATTCAAATTTTGTTTTTAGGTAGCTATGTATGTATGTAAGTATGTATGTATGTAAGTATGTATGTATGTATGTGCGTATGTACGGGTCTACGAACGTATGTATGTATGTATTTGTGTGTGTATGTATGTTTGTATCTATGTATGTAGGTTGTTTGAATGTATTTAGGTATGTATGTATGTATGTATGTATGTATGTATGTATGTATGTATGTATGTATGTATGTATGTATCTATGAATGTATGTATCTATTTACCTTACACTGTTTTTTGGATAACTGCCAATTTTTGTTCTAAAAGTAAGATTTAAACTAACTAAAAAAACTGATTCAGAATTGTTTCAGAATACTTCGATATCGGCCAGAATTATTTTAGTTTTCAAGTCAAATTTTTACTCTTTTTAATCAGTTCAATAAATCATTGAACAAATTCTCAAGAACTATAGAGTCTTAACCGTTGTTCTACATATCATAAAAAAATCCTGAATATGTTCTTTTTAGCTGTATATAATTTTTTCCAATTGTACCTGTAGACATTTTATATTTTTGCGATTGTTTTTGAATAACCGCCAAAACGCTGTTTTTTTGATACGCGACTAAACGGAAAAACCGTCAACACGGTTCTTGTTTTTCGGTTTTTCTTTAATCAATTTCAATTTTACTGATTAAGAGGCTTCCACAAAAATTAAAACTTTATATGATGCCCTCAGAAACGTTTAGCAAAATAAACAACATAATTCGGAAAACTCGGATAAATTAACTATTTTCATAGTTTTTATCTGATTTTTTTTCATTCTGGGTTGGAACTGCCAATTTTTGTTCTCCAAAAAAAAATTCAGCAAAAATAAGTTTTAATTAAGAAAAAACGGAAATTACCTCATCATCAAAATTATCTACTATGTTATCTATTATTTTATCAGAATTAGACAATTTTTTTCAGTTTTCAAGTCAAAAGTTTTCCTTTTTTTATCAATTCCAAAATTCATTTATTATTTTCTCAAGAACTGCAGCTTGTTAAACGGTTTTCCTTCAGGTCAAAATAAGCTCTGAGTTTAAGTTCTCTAGCTATATATAACACCTATCGAGTCTCATTTTAGAAAATACATAATTTTGCGGTTGTTTTGAAAAACCACAAAAGCGGTGTTTTTTTGGATACTCGACAAAACCTTAAACAGTCGACACGGTTCTGGTTTTTTCGGTTTTTTTTTATTTGAGTTAGAAGTTAATTCTCACGAGGCTTCTTCAAATGTATAACACTTTATATGATGTCTTCAGAAATTTTAAAAAAAACTTTAAAGTGGAACTCTAGGAAAAATTGACTAATTTCATCGTTTTTCTATGATTTTGTGTTCAATCTGGGTTTAAACTACCAATGTTTGTTCTCTAAAGAAAAATTAAACAAATATAAACCTAAACATCAGAATGAAGCAATTATTTTTCAGTTTTGGAGTCATTTTTACCCTTTTTTATCAATTCAAAAATTCAATCATTTATTTCTCATGAACCACAGATTGTTAAACAAGGTTCGAAATATCAAAAAAAGCCCTGAAAAACGTCTTTCTAGCCTTATGTATCAACCTATTTTACGTTATCAATCTATTTTAAAAAAAAAATTATATTTTTGCGTTTTTTCCGACGAAAAGCCAAAAACGCAATTTTATGGAAAGCCGACAGAACGAACAACCATCAAAAAGATTCTCCTTGACTTTAACGTAACTGGGAAGAACTCTCCAAGAGAATTCCAATTATGTATAACACTTTATATAGTTTCTTACGGAAAATTGAGAAAATAGACATTTTTTGCTCGAAAACTGCTTTTTTCCACCTTTTTTGTTAAAATGAACCAAAAAAAATTGATTCAAAATGATAAAAATTCGATTCTAATAAACAATATGGTCTTTGATATCGCTATGAATGGTCAAATGAATCATTTTTGCAAATTATTGGTTGCAAAATGGCCGCGTCACTAAACCCCCAGAAAAACCGTGATTTTTAGAATTTTTTGGGTGGGACCTATCGAAAAAAAACTCTATGCTCCTAGAGATTTCGAATGCTATCTCGAAAATTTTATTTGGTTCGGAAACTGAGCTGGCGTGAATGACCAACTTCGGCCGCAACAAAGATCTTTAATTTTTTTTAGATATAGCTAAATTAATTCCTGGAATGTTGTAGAATGCAGTGCAAGTGTTTTTGATAGTACTTCATTGCGGAAGAAGTTCAAAAGTCACGTCAGTTCAGCTTCTAACCCAGTTAATTCAAATTGATTTTTTAAAAAACGTCACCCAACGGGTTCAGGTCTCCAGTTATGATGGTTCCTAAGTAGGTTTGAGGCCGCCACAAGTAGGTTTGAGCCCCCAACCATCCCCCCCTTCCCCCAATAGGTTTGAGACCCCCAGTATGTTTGAGCCCCCCGGAAGGTTTGAGCCCCACATTAGGTTTGAGCCCCCACCCCAGTGGTAGTGAAGAATCACCGAGGAATGAGTTTGAGTCCTCCGACCCCTTTAATTAATTGAATTGTCGAACGAATTGACGAACGGGTCTCAAAATCCGATTAATGTTAAGTTTGAACTAATTTTCAATGTAATTTTCCAGATATTATGGACAAATTGAATCTATCATTGTCTCTATTCAATCGTATATCAATTGTTATAAGAGGCGACCTCATATCCGATTGTTTTGAAGATATGAGGCAACAATCTGTTATTATCCGAGCAGATCAGAAATTGAGCGACGAACGAATGAACGAAAAAATTCAGCGCGTGCGAAATGACCGGCGACGATTTTGCGATGAACTTATTAAATACCAAGTAGAGTCATACAAACAAAACCAAAAATTATGAGAGAGTGGTAAAATACACAAACTCCTGATGAAGTACGCAAAAACTTTGATCAATTCAGAAGAGAATGCGAAAAAATGACGGACGATAACATGACAAAAAAGCAAAGTCTCCAGAATTGGAAAATAGCTAAAAAGCCTCTGTATGCAGGAAACGAAGTGATAGTAGATCTAGAACTCCCAGCGATAGAAGAACAATCTACAAGCAAAACCGTCGAAATACAATCTACAAGTGAAATTAATATAGAAGAATCGAGCATACGGGGGACCAGTAGTAGTAGCAAAGAACCTCAAGCTAAAGAGAGAAAGCATGCACCCCGATTTGATTCGGAAGTTGTATGTATAACGATGTTGAACTTCGAGGGTGTGAGGTGCTTGAAAATCCGGATGCAAGAGAATACATCCAATGCAGTTGCTTTCTTCGGCGACTCAATTCTTGGTGGACTGTGTTTGAAAAATGTCGATATCTATTCATCAAGCGGCGCAAGGCCTCAACATGTCCTGCAAGTTCTCCGGGGAACAGATCTTAAACAATACCAAAAAGTTGCGTTGTGTGTGGGGGCAATTGTTTTAGTGCGTGGAAAGGCCAAACACGGAAATTGTGCGTTTACTTAATTATGCAAATCAGTTTACCAAGGTATCTTTCATATCACTTCTCCCAAGAGACGAAAGACGTTTTTTTTTAAATAAAAAATGCCAATTGCTCAATGAAAGGTTATTGTCAACCCTCGGCTATCGATTTGTAGGAACCAATGGAGTGACCATGGATGATTTGAATAGTGATCGAATTCATTTGTCGACCGATGGAGCAAAGCATTTTGCACATAAAAGTATGAAAAATTTCTGGAAAAAA